TAGCTCGGCGGCTGGCGGTTTTTTGTTGTTTATAACTTTTTTTCTAATCTTAGCTTTGGTTTCGTTTCTTATTTTAATATTATTCTTATTAATTCTCCGTTTAGTATTGCATCGCCGCTTTGTCGTCGTACATGAGTCTGGTGAACAATAATATAGATAACTTTAAATTGCTTAATATATATAAACAAATACTGAACATTGTAAGTTTGTTTAAGTATTAAAGGTTTAGATTCACAAACTTGGAGATCATTCAGACAAATTCTGAAGTAAATCGAATACTATGTTCATGAAGCAAATTATTTATTTATTATTTCCCTAAAAACACCTTGAATTGCACGTTTTATCTTTCAGCCAATATACACCTAACTTCTTGGAGCAAGTTAATATAGTAAATGTTTCCTATGTGAAGAACATTTATTTCTGTATTACAATTATTTTCCTAGAGATGGAGAAACATTTTGGTGACTAACATTGTGTGACAAATGTTGTGTACAAAGAAGGTGCACAGAGTCACAGAGCTGGTGACTAGTGAATTCTTACCATCTGACTCTACGAAATCATTTTTTATTAGTTTTCTTTTTCTTTTTGCAGGAAGATTATTTTGTTCCAGAGATATCACTTTCACAGCGTGGACTAAAATAGAACAGATTAAATTTACTAATGTATATAAAATTTAATTTACAAACATCTGCAATTATGAACCACAGCTTCCCATTTAAATTCATACAAACCATCGGACGCTGCTTCTGGTTTTATTTCATTAACTCTCTCCTGCTTTAGCTGTGCCTTTATTGAGTTATTTCGTGTAATCCTCATATTTTTGTGTAGATTTTCAGTGAGCAGTAAGCCTTCTTTTGTATCTGATTCAATAACTGTAAAAGAAATTAAACATCAATATCTTTTTAAAAAAGGGTAAGATTCTAGGGAAAAGAAGTCCAGGAAGGAGAAGAACATCGTGGCTTAAAAATCTTCGCCAATGGTACAGCAAAAGTACGCGTTCTATATTTAGAGCTGCTGTGTCCAAACTTCAAGTCGCTGTAATGATTGCCAATCTTCGTTAGGAGACGGCACCAAAAGAAGAAGAAGATCTTTATAAATGAAACAGGAACGGGTGCACCAATGTTGACGCGACTTCGACTGGAACGTAGCCGATTTTCGCCGGAAAGTTTTAGACGCCCATTTTTCTTTTATTCCGCGACAATGATGTTGGCGGGCGACAGCTCATTTTAACATAAAATATTGAGTTTTGTGATAAAAAGGCACTTGTTTCTATATTAGGTCAATAATGGGCAAGCAGCCAGTATAATTCGCCAAAAAAGCGAAGCTATCACTGCTTATAGACTTCCACATTCAAAGATGTTTTCTCCACCTGAATTGTCCTATTACCTCCATGTCCATTTCACATTCGATTGAAATATAACTTACAAAATAACACTAACAAACAATTACCTGCAGTTGATAGTTTGATCTGCATTTCATTGTTAGCTGTTGCTGTCACTCTTCTTGTGATAGTACTGTTAGTGGCGGATGCACTTTCTACAACAAACGCAACATATATATTAATCGTAATTGTTACATTTCTTTGTTACTGCACTGTCCGATAAATAATTTTCATAATTTACCTACAGGATCTAATGCAACATAATTTATCATTTAATTATTGTAACTAATAATACAAAGGAAAATATCTATCTAGTATAATCTTTGAATGTTTTCTTAATTCTGTATATATTGCTTTAATTTCCAATTGCTACTGCATAACTACAAACAAGGCAGAAGCACTTCTTATGCATATTACATACTTATTTGCATTCACACCCCATCCGCTGCAATGTTGTGTAGTCTCTAATAATGATAATGCCACAGTGTTTATGAGATTATCATTATCTGCAGTTTATTTTGATAGCTGAGCTTACCCAGGGCTGGTGAATTGTATTGTTTGTTATTTTGGTAACTACACTACATTGGAAACAAGTTGATGTTAGTTATTTGCTTGTTTTAATTAAATATTACTGCTAAGATTAAGTTGTAATTTAAATATGAGTCTCATTGCTGTTTTTCAGAGGGGTAGACAGAGATTTCTGTCATCTCCTACATTCATACATCTACACATTCAAGATGTAACTAAAATGAGGCATATGATGATGCTTTTAATGCCCCTTTCTTAACTATGCCGCCAACCTAGTGAACATCAACACTGCCGTCTTTTGCACTCTAAACTTTTTTGGTATCGTGGTATTACAAATTATAACAATAAGTAGGAATTAAATTGAAGTCACGTTACTAAAATAACTACAAACCTGTGAGTACTTCAAATTCTAGTACAGGCATAGAATTCAGTGTTGTATTTTGATTTTTGCGAACGCGTGTACCCAATTTTGTCTTTACACATCCAAGAGACCTACCCCCTCGTTTCTTTGGAGGCATTTTCGTACTTTATTTTTTATACATAACTTACATAAATTACGTTTTACTTTGTTATTTTTTTAATTAAGTTTAAGTTTTAGGGACAAAACGTACAATATACTTATACTTATTATCTGTTTAGTGCTACGCTTTAAATTATGAACATAATAGGCAGAACGGATATATTCTAATAAATGTTACTTGGTAATTTGAGGATACGTATAACGGTTACAAATATAACAATTAAATTGCGCGAATACTCGTAGCTCATATGCGAAACTGTTCGAAACATGAAAGAAAATAAAAGCATTCATTTTCGTTCAATTTAAAACAAATTGATTTGGTTTTATTGACAGTGACAGTGACGTGATTTGAAATTTACATGTATCATGACACCAAAGAGTAAATAACGTTCAATATTTCTTAAAATGTTTTAGTTTTGACGATTTTAAAAAGGCAGGATATGTTATGCATGAAGCGTATCACCTTTGTCGAATAAAAACTGAGGACAAATTGTATGGTTTGGGTACTTGTCATCTGTTACGTAAATTATTGTGTCGCAAACGTTTTAGTAATCCATAGTACGCAAATGTGTCACAATTTTCTTCAATCTAACCGAAAAGTTACAGAATTTAGTCAGTATTAGTATATTTTACTTTAAATTCTTTCTTTTGAAACGAAAACAAAGTCGTAATATATAAACTAATATAGACATGTAACGTGTAGGAACTGCTATCTTCTTTTCTTAGTCGAGTTTGCGTATTGCGACTTCGATTGCACACCCTATTCATTTCACTTATCCATTTTTTCTGAGTCTAAAGTAGTCTAAAGCCTGGTTCACACTTGCCCAGTTCAGTTGGACAGTGTTGTACAAGTATTGGCATTTAATCTATGCCTCGATTTTTTGTCAAAACATTGGCCAATTGTGTACCAGGCATTAGGAAGGTCAAATATAGGTTACATACGTCAAGAGGAGGAGGAACTTTTAATTAGACAAGGTCGTAATCACTTTATTAAATTGTCGGCTTTTTTAAACTAAGTAGTAAATCATGCCCGCAAAATATAAGATTGTGATGATCCGTCATGGAGAGAGCGAATGGAATCAGAAAAACTTATTTTGCGGCTGGTACGACGCCGACCTTAGTGACAAGGGTAAATGAAGTTTATTAGATACCTTACCTAAAAATATGAGCTTTTTTTAACTTATTAAATAAAAATCAAACGCAGGTCGAGAGGAAGCTGTCGCTGCTGGAAAAGCTTTAAAAGCCGAAGGCTACCAGTTTGATGTCGCTCATACATCGGTTTTGAAAAGAGCTCAAATAACATTGAATTCAATTCTCAATGAAATCGGACAGACCGATTTGCCGGTCAATAAAACTTGGCGATTGAACGAGCGGCATTACGGTGGTCTTACGGGTCTTAACAAAGCCGAGACTGCTGCCAAATATGGAGAGGCGCAGGTGATTTATATATTTTAACTTACAAATAATTGTCCTTTAATGTAACAAATTACAACTTTAATATTTATGATAGGTTCAAATTTGGCGACGAAGCTTCGACATTCCACCCCCGGCGATGGAGAAAGACCACCCATACTATGAGACCATTGTAAAAGATGCGCGCTACGCCGGGGACCCAAAGCCTGAGGAGTTCCCAATGTTTGAAAGCTTGAAGCTTACTATTGAGAGAACACTTCCATACTGGAACAATGTTATCGTTCCCCAGGTAATATGCATGTTTTCATTTGTAATCTTTTTATTATCTCTGTGTAATTTACTAAAGCAGTTTATAATTCAATTGATTGAATAAGAAACTAGGAACTAAACTAAACAAAAATGTAATTGATCAGTTTTTTCCGTTTTCAGATTAAGGAAGGAAAAAAAATTATAATTGCGGCTCATGGAAACAGTCTGAGAGGAATTGTAAAGCATTTAGATAGTAAGTGAACAAGATTTCCATCCAAAATCAACAACTTTAAAAAACATACAGACGAATTGAGTACCTCCTTCTTTTGGGAAATCGGTCAATAACTATACAATGTTTGAATTTGTCAATTGCAGCCAAAAACAGGACTCTATTTTAGTCCTGTAGATAAACTGCTTGTCTGAGCAAACTATCATGCAAACTCAGGATGCATACCCAAAAATAAGGGACTTTTTTACCTTAGGATTGCTATCTTTTTGCTCAGATGATGTACATTGTAACAATTTTCTTCTAATTGTCAAATTGGTAAATCTTTTTGTTTATTCCCTACTTCTATTATTGGATTTTGAAAACAGTTATTCTGCACAGTGATGGTTAAATGCAGCCAATATATGTATATCTTTGACTTTCGTTCCTAAGCTGAGAACCAGCTAATTTTTTGTTTTTAAATTAGTATGTTTATGGTGCGGCAGTACCCATTTATTGTGCAAGTAAGGTTGCAGAGATGTAATGTGTTGCAGAGCTGAGCGATGCGGCCATCATGGAGCTGAACCTGCCCACCGGCATCCCCTTTGTGTACGAGCTGGACGAGAACTTGGAGCCGGTGGACTCCATGGTGTTTTTGGGAGACGAGGAGACGGTGCGCGCCGCCATGGCCGCCGTGGCCGCGCAGGGCAAGGCCAAGTAGCCACACCCACACACATTTGTCCATTATTAGTGAGATTACGAGAAAAAATTTTATTTGCACTCGAATGTTTCATATTGTTTTGTTATAAAAAGATATCATTATAATCATGTAGATATATTTTTAATAAGCTACTTAAGTTTCATGTTTTTGTTATTTTGATTTAAATAAAACTGTTACAATAGTGACTTAAATTTTTAATATTACCCAGTGTCGCATCACCCCCCCCCCTCCCCCTCCGCCGCCTGCATCACGTTGCAGAGGTAGTGCTTTTCATTTTCTGCACATATTACATTAATAAATACAGATTTTTTGTCCGTGGTAGTGCCCACTTTAACATCTTAGCACTGCAGGGCCGGCTCGCCCCCAGTAATACCACGACCACACACAAGACAGCCGTCAAATGAAAGCAATTCCGTGTTTCGTCTGATGAATGTGGTGCCGGAGGCCTAATTTAAGTCCCTTTCTCTTTATCACCCTTTTCTTATAAGGAGAGGATGGGAAGGGACAGTGGATTTGACGGAGAAGATACATAGGAAGGGGAGATATTCTCTTCATGTGCGTCTCCTCCTCTGTTGGATAATGGATAAATGCCGGATTTAGGTGGCCACTTGCTCGTTTGCCACCTTATGTTGTAAAAAAAAAGATTGACCTTATGTGATATTGGAAAATTATTTTTTCCCGCCTTCGATGTTTCACGCCATATTGACGTTGCTATTTTTATAGTTGTTGACAAAGAAGTAAACGGCCGCTAGAATTCGCTAAAATAAGCGACCGCTGTATACATATTGTTGGCGTGTTACCTATTTTTAAAGTACAACTTCTAGCTCATTTGATTAAGAAATAGGTTCAAAATAAAACAGTACATTATTTAATTATGTCCATTTTAATTAGCCACTATTTGCGTTTGCACACATCCTCGGCTCGGCCGCCGGCACGCGGAGCAGCTCCAGCAGAGTCCACACTCATTAAGCTATTTTCACTTTCCAAACTTGCTCTTTTGCAACTTTTCACAAAGGCCTTTACTTTGCTATTATTCAACGTAAATAATTTACTTTTTCCTACCTCATTGTCCACATCCATGGAATCATTTTTGACATTTTTATTTTTTGGTATTTTCGGTTTTTGATAAAATCGAAAATCTTTTGGTAACTTATGTGCCTTAACGCAATGATCGAAGCGCTCCTCGGGATTCAAAAACTTCTCCTTGCATTCCTCTATGTAGCAGCAATACTGAGAAAGACATTTTACACATATTAGACAAGACAAACGATTACTGGTTATGGCGGTCGAGTTGTTTGCATATTTAATTCCGCTCGGTGCACGAGGCGGCACTCACGGAGGGTCTGGAGGCAGCCAGCGCTGCGAAGAAGGAGTCGTGCTCCTCCTGCACGTGCAGGTCCAGCAGGTGCGGCGAGGCCAGCGCGCGCCCGCAGCGCCCGCACGCCAGCGCGCGCCCCGCAGTGCCGCTACCATTTAACACATCATCGTCCAAGTTAATTATTCCCTATAGAACTGATTGATCTCTCGCACCTGGACCATCAACAGCAACTCATAAACAGAGTATAAAAGGTATTTACGGGTCGCGACAGATGAGCTCGTCGTCAAGGTGACGTACACCGAGGCGCGCGGGCGGCGCCTCCCGCGAGAACGCGCCGTGGTGCAGCTTGCGCGCCCCCGCCCCCGCCCCCGCACCCGCCAGCCGCAGCATTAGCGCCTCGCCCCGCATAGCGCCCGCCAGATTCTTCTGATGACTTTTAACAGTAAGACGAATAGGAAATTACTAAACTAAAAAATGTATTCGCTATACATTTTTTGCCTACTTGGCCACTCCACATCAGATTGGATCATGGTCAAGCGCTGGTATCTCATTTATACAAAAAAAAAACAATCGAACATGGCAAGCTAGTTTTTAAAATAGAAATCTCGATTAAAATATGTTATTGTATAAAATGATTGTGTTGTCAGATAGTATGTACCAGACACCCATAGTTAAGTCAATTTGTGTAAAATCACTATTAGTTGCAACTCGCGCGGCAATAGATAATACCGTAAGATACCTACTACATCTTCATATAAACAACCAAGGTCGGTGTTCTAGTGACGTCCTACTACTCCACTTCATTAATGTCTATATTCTTTTTATTTAACTGCGTAGGTAATTCACTACTTATTTTATAATATTGGAACTGGTTAAAATCATGTAATTAAGTTTTTTTCAATTCAATTAATTTTATTTTAGCCACCAACACACCATTACCAATTAACACAAAAATAAATAAAATAAGTAACAGACACATCACTATTCAAAGTAACTTTTTATTACAATGTGCCACCACTGTCATATAAGTGTGGTAGGTTAGATAAGTAACATTTAAGATTTTGGAATAAAGTATAGTGGTAGTATGTTGATTTCTAATTTCCTTTCGACTACAGTACCTACAAGTTCGACAAAGCAGTTGGACATCACTAACTGAGAAGTGAAAACATTATAATTTGATTTATAATTAAGGCGACAACTGGACGTGTAACTACTGTCCCCGGTATAAAATACAATGAGTGACTTGCGCAAAAGAAAGGTAAACTATTTAAGTGTATATAAACTAAAATAGCGTTTATTTCACGAAAAAAGTTTTTGATAAATAATTAAATCAACTTATACCTTATGTCTCAAGAAACAAGGTGTTTTTTTCTGTTTAATTAATATCCACTTTAGTAAAACTTCTGATGGCAATATGTATCTTAATACTAATAATTTCTACTTTTGTTTTAACTAGCCTCATACACATTTCCTACTTGTACTTGCTGTATTGTAACTTTACAAACAAGTTCCACAAAAACTTTTTTTTTTGTTTTGGCCAAGTGTTGATAACAATTATATCATTATCTATTGATCATAGAGTCATAGAGTATACATTGCAGTCAGGACACAGCTTATACAAATATAAGTGCACTTTCAGGAAAAAATAAGAAAATTAATTTATACATCTATTTAGACCGACAAAATTCTCTTTATTGTTTCTTTTATTCCGAATCTTCATCACTGCCATCAACCGCGATCATCACCATTAACGGCCGGTTTCAATAACGAATGATCGATTTCCCGCTTTAAACTTAGCCTTCGTGAAGTTAGCCACCTTACCTCACTTTCTCTTTTTTTTATGCAAATCGTTTGAGAATCGTTAGAGAGGGTTTGAGAGAAAACTACTTTCGTTTGAGAGTTCCTACTTTCTCCGTAAAAGCAATTTCAATTTGTAGCGTGAAGTTGGCCCCACACTTCATTATTTTTATGCAAATCGCTAGAGAATCGTTAGAGAGAAATTGAGAGGTAAGAAATATCGTTTGAGAGTTCTTACTTTTTTCGTAAAAAATATTTGAAATTTTGAAATCGGTAACATTCGAATCGATTTTACTTTTCTCCGAATTAAAAATGAAAGTCATGGACTTAGAAGGATCAAAATTTTGGTTAGAGAATCGTCTGATAATAATTGAGAGAAGAAAAAAATCGTTTGAGAGTTCCTACTTTTTCAACGGAACGTAGGAGTCAAACTACATTTTCTCAAAGTTTTTTATTTGAAATACATACTACTAAAAATAAATTATTGAAATTGATTACAGTAATAGAATAGGTCGGGCGCGTGAAAAGAGCTCACGCTCTTATTTCATGATAAAGAATAGAATCTGACTGGTAGAGGGAATGTATTAGAGAATGTAGAGAAATCTATTAATAATCATTAATATTATTTATTTATTTTTATTTAATTATTAAAAAACATAACTTGCTTGGTTATAATATCACATAATCATACTTCATACTAATGTTATAAATGCGAAAGATTAGATGGATGGATGTTTGTTAGAGTTTGTAGCCTTAGTTGCTGAACGGATCTCCACGAAATATGACATAGATGTAGAAGATAGTCTGGAGGAACACATAGGCATTTTTACTTTTTTTTAATTACACACGGGCGAAGTCGCGGGCGATATCTAGTTGCTGATATAAGTTCACTTCGTAAAGAGTTTTTCATTATACGCTATTTTCCTGTTTGTGGCAGTAATCTTTATGTTTTTATTATACCTTAGATTATTAAATAAAATAACGTGGTCTATACAATCGTGGTGCTTCGCGGGTGAAAGCTAGTTTAATAAAATTGATTATTGGTCTATTAATATTAGATCACGGATTGGGATCACCGACTGATAAAATTGCATATTAAGACCGGCCGTGTAAGAAGACGCGACGGCGGGATGCGATTGATGACTTTGGACATCGATTCTGACATGGATTGCATCGATCGAGACAACGATCGATCGTTTTTGAGACCCCCTGTAAATGAAACAGTTAAAAAATGCCACTGCCATTAGCCTATCCATTTATACAGGTGCTAAGACTTGACTGTTATTCCAGTTGAAAAGACTGACATTTGATTTTGACATTTAGTGTCGGCTCGGTCAGTTTCGGCCGCTAAGCTAAACCTTTTCGATAAACATACAAATTACAAAGTAAAATCAAAGAAGATTTGTCTAAGAACGAGTGTTATCTCGGCTTATGATTGTTTTTTGATAATAGTAATTTGAATTGTTTGCTTTTTATGTGCAGCTTCGGGGAAACGAAATGATTGGTGCAAAACGCCAATTTTTTATTAATGAAAAATAACAAGTGTTTCGTGAACCTTGGTTAATGTAATGATTAAATTAAATACCGTAATAATGTGAGTGAAACGCTAGGTAATATAATAGGTATTTATAACATTTCAAACATTGTCTTGGGTTGTGATGTTATTTTCATCCCGACATGGGAAAGTTCAGCACATACAGGTACTTAGAGGTAAGTTTACTGCGATCACTGAATGAATCACTTCGCAGTTATGTACGAATCTAAAAAAAAATCTATTTTGTTACTATGTAAATATTACGTATCTACTTATATCCGAAAAAGAAGTTGTGTTTATGCCATCCAGGAGATGCTGGGGCGGATCGCTTGTATTGTATACATCACCAGCGCTGGTGCTCTGTAGTGTAAACAAGGCATAAACATTAGTGTTATCATAGAATACATGTAGATATGAACTTAATGTGTTTGCCGTACTGTGTTACATCTTTGACAAATCTATTTACTTAAGCAAAACATTACTGAAATATAATTATTTTTATCAAATGATTATTATCTTGTTCAATTAAATAAATGAATATTCACTTTAATCACAATAACATGTGTACTGCTGCCCGAAGGATTTATTAAGTATTAAAACAAAATGAAAAATGTCCATAAATATTACCATGTAAAATAGACATATTAAATTATAAATCTGTAAAAAATGTAATGTTCAACATGAAAATATGGTTATTAGTTAAAGTGAATAAAATTTTTCTTTTTCAGTTAAAAGATAGCAATTCAGTGGGGCCAGTGAGCTCGCGCAGCATCTCCCTCCAGCGGCCGCGCCGTCTCAAGCGATTCTTCATCCTGCTCATTGTGGTGACCCTCTGTGGCACTTACCTCATGGGTAACTTTTATGTCTATATCAAATAATCTTAATTAGATGCTTGTTAAAAATACCCAATCTAGTGCGATAACTACATTTTTGGGGCTGTCTCAATATATTACCCCACATTGTGCAAGCAGATGTGGGGAACACTCCTACTTCATAGAGTTACACCTTGTGGAAATCTAGGGGTTTTTTTTATAAATATTTGATATATTTGATTAATTATGAAATGGTCTCCAATTCCTAAAAACAATCAATTGAATAAAAAAATTGGCCAAGAATTATCTGAGCGCTTCACTGGAAATTTGATAGTTCATGGTATAGTATGAGGTACACCTCTTTGTCATATAAGGTAAAGATCACATTTATTTGTGGATCATTATTTTTTATATAATATGAGGTGGCAAACCAGCAAGCGGCCACCTAAATCCACAGAAATGGAAAGCGACCTCTGCCCATAAACATCCGCAATTGCAGATGCGTTGCCTACCCTTAATTGACGGAGGAGGAGACGCACATAAAGAGGACATTTCCACTTCCCATGCGTCTCCTCCACCGACAAATCCACTTTTGCTTCGCATCCTTTCCTCTTAAGAAAAAGGGTGGAAAGGAAAAGGAACTAAAATTAGGCCTTCAGCACCACACTCATCAGTCGAAACTCGAAATTGCTTCCACTTCACGCCTGTTTTCTGTGTGGTCGTGGGATTACAGCGGGCGAGCCGGCCCTGCAGTTGAAGCGGGCTCTACCACTGTTCATTTTCAACGTTGGATTCATTTATCGTCGCGCGGCGTATTGTACGGCCATGATTATTTTATTACGTAGACCCATTCGATATCGGCAGACGTTAGGTAATATTAAATTGGGTATTGTTTGGTCCCGCCATGTGCGGAGCCATGAGCGGAGCAGAGCACAGCTTAGATCGCATCAGTTCACGGTTCGCATATGTGTAGTACATCGGCTCAATTGGGCCTGCATAGAGTATGATTTGCGTAAGTTGCGACTCACCGGGCAATTCGCGGCTTGTCGGCTCCCATAGTTATAGTGCCTCGCGTTGAGCCGTGAGCTGCACATTTTGTTGTTGAGCCGCAGATCAGCGGCGCAAGGCCATGAATTGATCTTTTGAACCTATTGAGAGTTGCCACACGTCTAGTGCGCTAGTCGGTGTCGTGCGCGCGCGCTTACTCCTCGTCTCTGCCGTCCGTCCGATTGCAGTGTTATTGTTATTTTTCTCGCGTATCGCCTCCGCGCCGACGCATTCAACATGTCGAGTGCGTCCCGACTGCTGCACATATTGTTTGCTGGTAAATTTATATTTTAACGATCGAGCCAAAGGCGATAACCAATCAATAAAATAATGGCATCTTTGGTCGCGTATAAGGATTACTTAGTTTCGTTATTCACATCGAGTAGCTTGATTGTTAGGACTTAATTTTTTTATAACATTCAATGACTACTTAAACCCTCGGATCTACGGTTCGCGAGAATTTATGTTCGCCGCAATGTTGTGATAATATGTATTATGGCAAACAATTGTCTCCCGTTGAATCTTAGAGTAATTCAGAGGATTATCTAAGCAACGACGATTACTTAGCTAATGTCACACAAATGTCGCAGTGTCAAGGGTCGCGCGGTGGCGACGATAACGAGGTTAATGCATAGCGTATAGCTAGAGCGCAGCGCATGAGCTGAGACGGGCGAGGCGTTGCAGGGCTGCTGGCGGGGCAGCC